GATTTAATGTTCTGCTGAGCACTAGTGGTTCACACAAGTAATTTCTGGCTACTGAGGAGGCTCAGATCTGAGGATTGTGGTTCAAAGCCAGCCCAGGGAGAAAGTCCATATAACTCTTAGCTCCAATTAACAACCAAAAAGCTTTTGAAAGTGGAGTTGAGGTTCAAGTAGTAGAGCTAGCCTTGAGCACAAAAGCTCAGAGACAGCACCAAGGCCTGAATTCAAGCCTCAGGATTGGCACCAAAAAAAAAAAAAATTGAATGTTCTTAAGGATTGAAGTTTCACTAGCAATGAATTTAAGTTGCTGAGACCAAAGTAAATATCTTAGCATGTATTTCCTGAACAGGTACAGTAAAATACATTCAGTTTACAATCTCTTCTGAACAGTTATTCATCCATAGTTCTGTTGGTGATAACTATCACTGACAACATAAAGTGAGCTTTATGTACTATTCTGTACCAATTTTTTCACCAGCACACAGGCCCCACCCATACTTATCCCTGAACAGATACCTAGCCTTCTTCTCTAAGTAGGCATGGGAACTGAGGGCATGTGTGTTCACAGCAGGATCCTATGAGCTAGGAGACTAACAGGTGCAGGCTCTGTGGAAATCTACTTGCCTGAAGGCCTCCCACAAGATACTAAAGAAGCAAAGACATGAAAAGAAAACTGTGTCAAAGGGAAAAAGGTATTCCTCAGGTTTGGCCTACAATATAACATGGTTGTCCAGGATACCATTTTTGGACTCATTACTGGCATCAGCAGTACCCCAATTATTGTATTAAGGAAGAGGTAAACAAATTCAAACAAAACAGAACTGACTGAAGAATTAAGTACATTTCTCAGGTTTTCTTACTGACTCTTAAAAGATGTGCCCCAGGGCTGGGAAGGTGGCTCAGTGGTAGAGTGCTTGCCTTGCTAGCATGAGGCCCTGGGTTTGATTCCTCAGCACCACATAAGCAGAAAAAAAAAAAGCCGGTAGTGGTGCTGTGGCTCAAGTGGTAGCGCTCTAGCCTTGAGCTGAAGAGCTGAGGGACAGTGCCCAGGCCCAGAGTTCAGGCCCCACAACCGGACCCCAAAAAGATACCTCAAACTAGCTGGTCCCAGGAGGCTGAAGTATGAGGATAGCAATTGGAAGCCATCCTGGGCAGAAAAGCCTGAAACACTCTCACAAAGAGATATATATGAATGTGTGTTTTTTATGTGTGTGTGCATCTAAAAATGAGGTTAGTGTGGACCTAAGTTCTTACAACATACTTCATTTTACAATTATTCACTGTGAATTCTCTTTCAAGCTCTAGAATGCCAAAGTTTCTAAGAGAATATTTTCTAAATCTGGTGCATCCTATTTATTCTAAAGTTACCTTTGTTGGCCCATTTGTTGTTTTATTAACTGTTTAAATCAACTGTTCAGAAACTAGAGCATAAGCATTTCATCATAACACAATGTTACAAATGGGTGTAGAAAAAACATGCCAAAAACACGGAGCTAAGGGAGATATTACTCTGAAGTAAGAATGGCAAAAAAAAAAAAAAAAAAAGAAATGCTCAACAACTGGCCATAAAGGAAATACAAATCCAAAGAACTCTGAGATTCTATCTCACTCTAGTTAGATTGACCAACATCGTGAATTTATACAACAAATATTGGTGGAAATGTGGGGGGAAAGGAACGCCATTGCACTGTTGGTGGGAATATAAACTAGTTCAACCACTCTGGACAGCAGTCTGGAGGCTCCTCAAAAAACCAAACACAGATCTTCCACTCTTGGGCATCTACCCAGAAAATCACAAGCTAGGATACCATAAAAACACTTGCACATCCATGTTTGCTGCACTATTCACAATTACCAAGTTATGGAAACAGCCCAGATGCCCTACAATAGAGTAGATCCAAAAAATGTGGTACCTACACCACATGGAATTTTACACAGCCATTAGAAAGAATATTACGTCATCTTCAGGGAAATTGATGGACCTAAAACAGATCATGTTAAGTGAGGTAAGCCAAGCTAAGAAGCAAACAGCTTATGTTTTCTTTTATGTGGAAGTTCAATTTAAAATATACCCAGACATGGGGACTGGGAAAGTGGCTCAGTGGTAGAGCACTTGCCTTGCATGCCCGAGGCCCTGGGTTCAATTCCTCAGCACCACCTAAGAAAAAAGCCGGAAGTGGTGCTGTGACTCAAGTGGTAGAATGCTAGCCTTGAGCTGAAGAGCTGAGGGACAGCACCCAGGCCCAGAGTTCAGGCCCCATGACCGGACCCAAAAAAAAAATATATATATATACCCAGACATGATCAACTATCCAGAACTGTAGGTATTCACACAATGAGACCAAAGGAGGATACTTTTAGGGAAGGAACACAAAGATGCAATGTGCATTTATCAAAATGAACTCTAGGAAATGGAAACAAGAAATTTTTGCTTTGTTGCTTTTGCTTTCTTTTCTTTTTATCTTGCCTGGTCTTTATCTTTGGGAGGGACAAAGGATGAATAAATGCAGCAGTGGTACTCACTAGAAACTATGTTGAAAATGAACTATACAACTTGTAAGTGGGGATGGGAAGGAAAAACTGGGACAAAGTGAGGGAAGGGGTGACACTGTCCAAAAAGAAATGTACTCATGCCCAGAGCCGGTGTCTCACGCCTGTAAACCTAGCTACTCAGGAGGCTGAGATATGAGGATCGAGGTTCAAAGCCAGCCAGGGCAGGAAAGTCTGTGAGACTCTTATATGCAATAAACCACCAGAAAACCTGAAGTGACCCTGTGGCTAAAGTGGTAGAGCACTTGCCTTGAACTGAAGAGCTCAAGGACAGCACCCAGGCCCAGAGTTCATGACCAACAAAAAAAAAAAAAAAGAAGAAGAAGAAGAAAAAAGAAATGTACTCATGACTTATGTAACTATAAGCTCTCTGTACATTTTTATAATTAAAATTAAAATTACATAAAACAAAGAAGCCCATTACCAATCTGCTTCTCCAACAGCAATGAATCTGTGTATATGAGGATTAAAATTGGCAATTTTCTGGGAGAAAAAAAAATCCCACCAAAATCTACTGAATTCCCAATGTAACATTAATGTGTGGCCTTTCTGAGTCCTCCAATTCCTCTTTCATTATTGGAAGAAGTCTCGGAACATGTTTTAAACATCCTGTATTGCAAAAGCTTAGCTGATTCTGGAAGAGCATTCCCCACAGACAACACACCACTGCACTGATTGCCAGCACCTCCTAACTGGTTTCAGTCTCCAGCCCCTCCCTCCCACCCTGAATTCTAATCTCTCCCTCCCAGATTCTGTCCTCCTGGTCCAGTCCATTGTCTCACTGAAAATCTGATTACCACCCCCCTACTTAAAAACTTTCACTGACCAAAGAACTTCTTACAGGGTGAAATCTGACCCCCTTACCTTGACACAGCTACCTTAGTTTTGACTTTGCCTTCCACACCCAAAGCCTACTGGCATTCTCATCATTTTTAACAAGTCAGTTCTTTCACTTCCCCCTTATATACATTCTTGCAAAACCTTTTTTTTTTCTTTTTGCTTACAATGCACATCCTAACCTTTTAGTTGTAAATTTCACCCCATTTAGCTCGGTTCAAATATCACTTTCTCTATAAAACCTGCCCAACATCCCTGAGATACACTTAGCACATACCATCATTCACCCTTTCACAGCACTGAAGGATGGGTTTACAGGATTTCCCTAAACGCTGGCCACATGGTGAAGGAGTATGCCACCTTTAGGTGCAGGACTTGCCACAGAAGCCACCATCATGAAGACATTCCATTTCTCTCTTTGCAGTTCTATAATAAAATACTCATGAACTAAAAGTTCAGTCTGATGTTTATTTACAAACCCTCAGACTCATGCATTACTAAAATTCATATACTGTATACAATCTACTGTAAGTATTGGTAGATAGACCACCACCACAGAAAAAGTCTTAACCAGAAAACATTTTTACAAAGAAAGGTATTCAAATTTTAAATATTTTAAACTCCAAACTTTCGACACAGGGTCAAACTGATTTAAGTTTTAGAAGTCCAAGGTACGAAATAAAGGAAAATTTCGTGCAGGTCAGCAGTTCAGTACTGAAATCTTCTATCCTCACCTTTGAACCACCCTCAAATCGACACCCCATCCCTCACAGACAACGCAGCCATACACTGAAAAAGTCAATAGAAAATTCACAATAAATAACATTTCCAGAAGAAGGAGGAGAAAAAAAAACCCGAGAATGGTGATGATTTGCTCCCATTATGCCAGGGCATCACCAATATAAACAATAACTATCAGACATATCCATAGGATGGTTCACAATCCAGAAAGAAAACGACTGATTTCCCATCCATCATGTAATTCCTAGGGATAATCCTGGGTGAAACAGGATTAGCTGCCCGGCGACGAGGACAGCCAGCGCTGAGTGTGAACACAGATCAAAGAACGGCGGCTACGCTACGGCTGCTATAGAAATGTAGCTCTGCATTTCAAAACGAAAACTATTCCTACTACAACCAACACGGCCCGTGAGAAACGAACCCGCGGTCCTTACTCCATGACCAGCGTTAGCCCTGCGACTAAACGTACTGACTCTACCCCCGCCACAGCCACAAACCCCGATGACCCCAGGCAAGTTCCACCTCCCGGTCTCAGACCAGTGCCGCCCCTCCGCCCGCAGGAACTGGCCCGATCGCGGGCTCGCAGCTCGGGGCGGGCTCCGGGAACGCACCCCCAGCAGCGCGGGAGTCCGGTCCCCCCACCCCGCTTCCCTCCGGATGCGGCGCCAAAGGCGCGGAGGGAGCCGAACCAGACGACGCGGGGCACCAGACCCCCGCGCGGCGCGTCCGCCGCGGTGTGCCTCGCGACTGCCGGGGTCCAGCCAGCCGGGGTCCAGCGGGGTGCCAGCACCAGATCCCTCCAACTCGCAGGCACCTCCGAGCGTCCCGACTCTGGGAACCAGCCATCCCAAAGAACCGTAAAAGCAGACACGCACCCAGGCGCTCCCCAGCGAGCACCGCGCCCGCCGGGCCACACAACAGCAACCAGAAAAGGAGGCTCCCAGGGGTCGAGCCCGCGCCCGACCCCATCTCGAAACAGCCCGCACGTTCCACTTAGCGATCCGTCGCCTCAGCCTCCGCCTCTTCGATCATTTTGCACCCTTCCCCGCCCCCCCGGGGCCCCAGGGCTGGACCGAGCATGCGCACGGCACTGACGCAACCGGGCCTTAGCTTCCAACCGCGCCTCCTCTTTGCTGACTTCGGGGGAAAATTCCAGCCCGTGGCGGGAGGAGAATGGGATTTCTGAACCCACCACTGAAACCCGCATCGCGAGGCCCCGCCCACCTCCTTGCGCCCAGTCTCCCAGCTCTTGAGCACACTTACTGGGGGGGAGGGGGCGGGAGAAAGAGGAACGCTCGGAGCAAGGAGCCTTTTGATTGGTTAGAACAGTGGGCGGAGCGTCTCACAGGGCGCTAGGCTACGCGGAAAGGCCTGACCTGGCTGGGCTTGGCTGGGCTTGGGTCGCCGTGCCGGCCTGGGTTTCTCCGGGAGTATGGTGCTGGGTGGCTGCCCGGTGAGTTATTTGCTTCTTTGTGGCCAGGCGGCTTTGTTGCTGGGGAATCTGCTGCTGCTGCATTGTGTCTCCCGGAGCCACTCCTACAATGCCACTGCCGAGCTGGAGCTCACATCCGCTGCCCACCAGGAGGGTCCCGCTGGGGCGCCCAGCTGGGAATATGGCGACCCCCACTCTCCAGTCATCTTCTGCTCCTACCTGTAAGCTCTCCAGTCGTCGAGGCGGGCCGAGGGGGAGACTGGACCAGGGCTGTGTGGCTGATGTGGAAAGGAGGGGGAGGGGTGAGGCTCCTCCCTTTTCATAGACCATTGCCACCTGAATACCGGATTGGGTGATCATGACAGGACCCCCTTATCCAGGGATAACCTCGTGTGTGAGTGTCAGATCTTTGGGATCCCGAAGGAATGACACCGTCTCTGGAAAAAGAAGCATTCTAGGTTGAGCCTTTATTTCTTCTGCATCCTTTTGCTAAATGATAATCCACCGGTACCAAGAAACAAATGGAGAAATGACTTCTCTGTGTCCCCAGGCACTTTAAAAAAAAAAATCAGTATCCTCACTGTTACAGACCAGGCCTTTTTTAACACTTCTTTTTTGGTCAAATGACTAAAGGCATTTGAGAAATACAAAAAGAACTGAGTTGCATTTGACTTAAATGTCTCCCCATAAGCTTGTATTGTTTGCCTAGCAGAAGGAGAGGATGCCATTTAGTAGATTACATAGAAACAGAACTAAAACACCGCCAACAAAAGGGTCACTAGGGTGACTCCTTGTGCTTTACCACCACCATTGGTTTGGAATGGGGCCCACAGGGTGGAATACACACCCAGAAAACTTAGCGACGAAATGTCCCTTGCCTAATTTGATTATGTACAAGGATGATGGTGATCACAATCTTACTGTGATTTACAGACCAGACGAATTTATAAAATGTGACGAACCAGTGGACCATGTTGGAAATACAACCGCATCCCAGGAACTTGGTTATGGTTGTCTCAAGGTAAGTGTTTGTTGCACAAGCAAACTTTTCCATAGAGAAGTAGTACTGGCTGGGTGTTGTTTCAAAAAAAAAAAAGTGAGAATGTACATTATAGTAGAAATCCATCCAAATAACTGTTACAGAAATCTCCAGCATGATCAAGGACAGTGGCTGTACAACACATTTGATCTCCACAGGAAGGAGCAATTTCTATCCCAAAACCATCCAGGTTCGAACATCAATCCATCTTTGGTTCCTTTGGCCTATTGAAATGAACAGATTTGAAGTTAAATTGTCACCTATTCTTTGAACCATGCCCTTTCCTGAAAGAACAAAAGAAAAGCTATGTGCTTTCAAAATCTGATGATGAATTAGGAAGTTTCACACACATTTGGGACAAAGATTCTTATGTTGAGGACCTTTTATTTTTCACTTGTTAATGGGAATGGGAAAGTCATTCAGATCTATTAATTTTTCTTAAAGCTGGGTGTATACTTTCCACTAAGCTTTTAGAAACACAAATTTTATTTTATCTTCCATCACTAAGTGATAGTACAAAATTTGTAGATGTCAAGAGAATTATGAGGAAACATTTTTGGTACTAAATCAGATACAGAAATAAACTTGACAGTAGCAAGAACAAAAAAAAATAACTCTTAGCCCAGCACAGTGTCTTATGCTTGTAGTCACCTGAACTCAATAGGGAGGGACCAAGGTTCAAGGGCAACCCATGCAAAAAGTTAACAAGACCTCCCATCTCAAGCAATAAAGTAGTCATGGTGACATGCCTCCCTGATCTTAGCTACTAAGTAGAAGGACTATCAAAGGCCAACTGGGACAAAAAACAGAGATCCTACCTGAATGAAATCATATATAAAGAAGTACTTTAAACACATTGAAATGTTATTGGTAATTACTTATAAAAGCTTGATTAGCATTATAGAGACATGTTACTTTTGCTGAGTTAATGAAAAAACTTCAGTTTTCCCTGTGAGGTCCTCAAACTCGCCCTTGTACGTAAGTCCTAAAATAGAACAGTTCCCAGGAAGTATGAGAAAGTTACATCATTATTTGCCAGTACTCCCCTTGGAGGACCCAAAAATAGTAATAAGACACAAAGTGCCAGTACGACATGTAAGAGCTGGGCACTAGTGGCTCATGCTAAGCTACTCAAAAGTCTGAGATCCAGAGGATCGAGCTTTATAACAAGCCCAGAAACAAAAGTCTGCCGGGTATCAGTGGCTCAGGCTTATAATCTAGCTAACTCAGAAGGCTAACATCTGAGGGTTATGATTCAAGGCCATCCTGGGCAGGAAAGTCCAGGAGACTCTTATCTCCAGTTAACCAACAAAAAGCCAGAAATAAGAGCTGTGGTTCAAGTGGTAAGGTGCTAGCCTTGAGCAAAAAAAAAACTCAAGCCCTAGGAACAGCAGCAAAAAAAAACAAAACATTTGTGAGACTCCATCTTCAGAATTACTAGCCAAAAAGTAAAAAATAGAAAACATGTTTTGTTTTGGGTTTTTTTTTTTTGGGGGGGGGTCCGGTCGTGGGGCCTGAACTCTGGGCCTGAGCGCTGTCCCTCAGCTCTTCAGCTCAAGGCTAGCGCTCTACCATTTGAGCCACAGCGCCACTTCTGGCTTTTTTCTTTTGCTTATGTGGTGCTGAGGAATCGAACCCAGGGCCTCAGGCATGCAAGGCAAGCACTCTACCACTAAGCCACCTTCCCAGCCCAAAAACATGTTTTGTTAGGGGAGAGGGAGGTTGTCAGGAAAAGGAGACACATGAAGGAGGAAGGGTGAGCAAATATATTCATGATATTCAATGTACATTAATGAAGTTGTATATTGTATAAAAATGAACTAAATAACTTGAGGGTAGGGATGGGATGGGGAGAAGAATGGAAGGAATAACATTGATCATGTTGCATTGTACTCATAATCTGACATATAGAATTGAAACCTCTTGTACAACTATTTAAAATTAATTAATTAGTTAATTAATATAGCAAGGCTGGAGGCTTAGTTCAAGTGATAGAGAAAACTGAGCAAGTCCTGAGTTTAAGCCCCACTAGCACCAAAAAAAAAAAAAGGAAGAAAGAAAGAAAAAGAATTGTATAGCTGTAGTTTCTTTGTTAGCATTCAGTTCAGCAAAGGATGAGAGTCCCAGGTCTGAATTATTTTGCTGGAATTTAAAAACACATACTAGGGATAGACTATAGGTATATAAGGATCATCCATTTATGACCTAAATAAAGTCCTAATTCAAATGACATTCTGAACTATTTTTCTAGAATATTGATTCACATTAACAGATATAAAACAGACCTCAGATACACATTGGCCATCTTACATACCCTTTCTCAAATGCCTCTTTATGTTCTTTTTTCTCTAAGAAAGTTACAGTATTGTGACCAACTCTTCTAAATGACATGAAACTAAATTATGGTTATTTTTGATATGCATTGAAGAAGCCAATCACTGAGAAAAAATTATTTAAAAACATGTACATTTTGGGGGCTAGGAAGTTGGCTCAGTGGTAGAGCGCTTGCCTTGCATGTCTGAGGCCGTGGGTTCGATTCCTCAGCATCACATAAGCAAAAAGAAAAAAGCTGGAAGTGGTGCTGTGGTTCATGGCTCAAGTGGTAGAGTGCTAACCTTGAGCTGAAGAGCTGAGGGACAGTGCCCAGGCCCAGAGTTCAGGCCCCATGACCGGAACCAAAAAAAAAAAAAAAAAAAAAAGTACATTTTGAATGGACTGATCTAAAATCATTTGAAATACGTCACTGAATCCCATTCTTTTTATGGTTGGGGAAAGAGGCCTGGGCACTGTCCTTTAGCTTTTTCACTCAAGACTGGTGCTGTATCTGCCACAGCTGTACTTCCAGCTTATTGATGGTTAATTAGAGATAAAAGTCTCATGGACGTTCCTGGCCAGGCTGACTTTGAATTGGGATCCTCAGATCAGCCTCCTGAGTAGCTAGGATTATAGGTAAGACCCACCAGTACATGGCAATCCCATGCTTTTGAGCATAGCTTCACCCCAGTTATTCCTTAGAATTATTAGAATACTGAGGAAAAGTATACTTCCGTGTTGTGTGCTTTGGTGAGTTTGTTTTGGTTTTGGTGATTATCCCACAGTTCGGTGGTCAGGCCTACAGTGATGTGGAACACACCTCTGTCCAGTGCCGGGCCCTAGATGGAATTGAGTGTGCCAGTCCTAGGACCTTCCTCCGGGAAAATAAGCCCTGTATAAAGTAAGTGTTACCTTTCTAGCTGCTGGTGGTGACAATAGTGTTGAATGAAACCTAGAATTTCAAACATACTAAGCATGTGTTCTCACAATGAGCTACACTCCTGGCCCAAAGTTAGTGCCACTTTGGAAGGGATAGCTGGTATTTGAACCGAGATAAATCTATTTCTTGTCATTTTTTTTCTTTTTAAATATAAAAGAGGAATGTGGGAATGTGATAAACTGGTGTCTGCAAACCTGTAATCCCAGCATTCAGAAAGATTGCAAGTTTGAAGCCAGCCTGGGTTATATAGCAAGAACTTGTCTCAAAAAAAAGGAGGAAGGGGAAGGGAAGGGGGATGAGGAAAAGGATGGAGAGGA